TAGCAGAATATACAACTCAAGCCTGCAAAGACACAGTAAACTGATTTTCAAGATTTCAAGGTATACCACAGGAAAGTTTTTTCAATAAATAGTACTTGAATAATTAATTGGACATTTAAAAAAAAAATTAACCTCAGGGCACCAGACTGAATCAGTCAGTAAAGCATGCAACTCTTGATCTTGGAGTCAGGAGCTTGAGCCCCATGTTAGGTGTAGAGATTATAAATAAATAATTTTTTAAATGAGCCTTGACCTTTACCTTGTACAACACATAAAAATTAACTTCAAATGGATCACAGACCTAATTATAAAAGCTGAAAGTCTAAAACTTCTAGAGAAAACACAGAAAATCTTTCTGATCTTGGAGTAAGCACAGATTTCTCAGCACACAAAAGACACAACCATTTATATATATATATATACATATATATATAATATTTAAATATTTAATATATAAATTGGACTTTATATATAATATAAATAAATATAAATTGAACTTCACCAAAATTTTAAAATTCTGCTCTTCTGAAGTTATCATCAAGGAAACAAACAGGTGGGGCACCTGGGTGGCTTAAGTCGGTTAAGCGTCTGCTTTTGGCTCAGGTCATGATCCCAGGATCCTGGGATGGAACCCTGAGTTGGGCTCCCTGCTCAGTGGGAAGCCTGCTTCCCCCTCTCCCCATCCCCCTGCTTGTGTTCCCTCTCTAGTTGTATCTCTATCAAATAAATAAATAAACTCTTAAAAAAAAAAAAAAAGGCAAACCATAGATGGGGACAAAATATTCACAATACAAATATCTTGTAAAGAGTTTTTATCTAAAATATAGAAAAAAATCTTACAGCTCAATAATTAGATAACCCAAATAAAAAATCAGCCAAAGATTTGAATAGGCACTTCCCCAAATATAGACAAATGTCACATAAACATATGAAAAAATGTTTAACATCATCATGGAAATGCATATTAAAAGCACAGTGAGATCTACTACACATCCACCCAAGTGGTTAAAATGAAAAACAATGACAACATCAAGCATTGACAAGGATATGGAGCAACTGATAATGTTTGTCAGAATGCAAAATGGCACAAATACTTTGGAAAAGTTTCAGTTTCCTTGAAAGTTAGACCTACACTTAACCATAAGACTCAACCATCCTACCTCCAGGTATTTCACCAAGAGAAATGAAAACACACTGCCACACACACAAACCTGCGACATATATACATAGCAGCTTTCTTCGTAAGAGATCAAAACTTAGATGTTCATCAACAACCTAGATGCCCATCAACATACAGGAATAGCTATAAATTGTGGTTTAACCATATAGCAGAATAATACTCTGCAATAAAAACAAAACCCATTGCTGATATACATAATAGCACAGATGAATCTCGACATGGACGGATTTCAGAAGTATTATGCCGAGCAAAAGTGTCAGACACAGAGTAAATACTGAATGATTTGAAATGCTAGAAGAGTCAAATCTAATTCATAGTCACAGAAAGGAATCAGTGGTTGAACAGTGCTAGTTGTTGGGGTGGAGGAGAACTCATGGCAAATGGGCATGAGAACTTTTGGGTGATGGAAATATTCTACATCTTGATGGTAATGATGATTGTGTGGTTGTTCACATTTGTTAAAACTCCTCAAACTGTAAACTTACAATATAGGGTCCATTTTACTATATGTAAATTATACTCTTGAGAAAGTTAACAAGGTGGGCAGAGAATATGATTTGTTCTACATTTTCTCCTTCTAAGTAAATCTAGAGTCAATACTGTGGTCATTCACAATTCCCAGGGGATAGGTCTTTGGACAACCTGAACAAGTGTTTACATATTGTCTTGTGATTGACATTATCCATTTCCAACAGAATTTCCAGGACTTGAAAAATAGGTAAAATTAGAAAAAAAAAAAATCCCAATTTGGTGTTTATCTCATGCTTACTTTGAAATACAATTTTCACAAATTTTTGTTGAGGTTTGAGGGAATCATGAAATAATATCCCCCGTCCCCCTCCTGACTTCTGAGCCACTTGAGAGGCCAAGCCAGGCAAATGGAGATTCAGTATATCAGATTTAGTTTGCACCAGTAATAGCCACCTAATATCTAACCCAGAATAAGACAGACCTGCTCACCAAGGAATGGGCAGTCCTGCACAACTCCAGGGCTCCCCTTGCAGAGTCATAGAGCCTTTCACTGCAAAGCTTATGCCATGTCTGGCAAGAGAATAAAACACAGGCTCTCTGCAAGCATTACAAATCCCCAGAAAGGGGAGAAAGGTTTGCATGTCTAGTTCTTTATCCTGAACTCCCTTTTGCAGGGAGTTGAGGTGATCCGAGAAGGGAGTGATCAGGAGTCCTTGCTTAATGGATGTGTAAAGAAGCACCTCGAGAGGAGGCCACCTCTACCCTCTGCCTTCTCAACAAGATGTAGATCAACATTTTTCAACCTGTCTTCCACCGTGGCGCACACACCAAGTTCACATATAACATTCATTGAGGCACAATTCATGGCACACCAGCCACAGGGCTACCCCTTCCAGAGAGCATATTTAATTGCAAGTGACTAAAGTGACATATTTCATTTTTAATTTACTTTGGTAATGAGTCAATCACTCACAAATTTCTGTACTTTATTATTGATTAAAAAAAAAGAAACCCTTACTTTCTCAATCCTAAAATGTCATCAATTTCACACCATTGGCTTAATATAAATCTCTCAGAAAAAAACCCATTGAGTATACTAATTAATTCAAAGATAGTTATGGAACTATGGTTCCTGTGTCAACTCACAACTCATGTAGATACATGTATGTCATGAAATCAAAGCTCCAGGATGGCAGGTCCAGAGTCAATTTAGAAAGGCTACTGACTCACAAAGTCTGGGAAAAAAAAAAAAAAAAAAGACAGAATTTTCTTACTGCTGGGAAAGGCAGTAAAACAAACTTTTGACATCATTACATAAAGCATAATTTTCGAACTCAAGAGGCTATAGTGGTCAGTTATAATCATAGGAACTCTAGCTTTCTCAGACAAAACTTTTTTACTTAAATCTTCACTACAGTTTTGTCATATAACATCAATTTAAAACCTCTTTACACTAAGACTACTACTATAAAAGTGTGTACCTCTAAAAGGCCCCAACTGCAGTGATTCTGGGTTCACAACTTACATGCTTTTCAATGTTTGTGTAGCATTCGTTAGCATATTTAAGATAAATACATTATAATCTAAAAACCTATTGTCTAGAGAATAATATATGGATTCTCAAATTATCAGGCATGATCTGGATGTGTGGTGTTCTGACTAACGAGTGTCTATCCCATACAATTTTCAAATAAGAATAATACAAATTATATTCAATATAGTATTTAATGTTATTTCAGAGAATATATTAAACATCTTTAATTGTATCATTATTATAAACATCAATTAGAAGTGTTTGCTATTGCAGTTAATAAGCTTAGCAAATGTCTATGTATAAGTATTCACATCTTAGAAAATGATATGTGCATTCGTGTCTTCATGCACAGAAGAGTGTTAGGTGAGCATCTTCTGGGGCATGAATAAATGAGCTGCCTTCGTTCTTCAAAATTCATTATTCCTTTTCCCTCCATTTTATGTCTTCCAATTTATGTCTTATATCTGAGTAAGGAAAAGACAAATCTGTCCCACTGATATGAATACAGGAAAAGACTAGGTTCTTTAACAGAATCGTAGCTACATGCCCTCCATCCTGGGTCTTGCCTCTTTTAGGGCTGACTTTATGACAAGAATAACCCCAACTGATAACCATCTGTTCTAAAATATCAAAAGTAGTGACTCTTCACTTTCAGATAAAGATTACAAAATTCTCCTACTTTCTTAAACTCAGAAGAAACAGGTTAAATATCTCCAAACTAAGTCAAGTTCTTCACAGAAATAGCTAACATTTACTGAGGACATCCTATGCAAGACTCCATCCAAGGTGTTTTACATATTTTATTCCCACATAACAAAGAAATTAAACAAATCAACCTAATTTTTCAAAAGCTAACAACACAAAGAGGCAAATCTTTAAAATGAAGGAAAAAACTATTTATTTACAAATTACATGATAAACAAAAGCCCAATACTCAAAATAACATACCAAAGGGTGAATGCTCACTTCTGTAGATGCCCAAGTATCTACCCTGGGAGAATATCTTTTATTAAGTGAAATAAAATGTAATTAGTATTTGTTCTTTGGATTCCTCTAAAACTAACCTCTCTAACCAGAGCTAACTTTGCAATGTAACTTTGGGGGAAAAATACAATACTCTGAAAAAAAAGAGGTAAGCATTCCACTAAAGGAAAAACTTTTTAAATCATCTCAGAGGGTGGGAGATGGGCTAGATGGGTGATGGGCATTAAGGAGGGCACTTGTTATGATGAGCACTGGGTGTTGTATGGAAGTGATGAATCACTGAATTCTACTCCTGAAACCAGTATCACACTGTACGTCAACTAACTAGAATTCAAATAAAAATTTAAAAAGGAAAAAAAAAAATCATCTCAGAAAAATGACCATTACACACATGCTTCAACAGGGTAAGGTAAGATTCTTTAAAACAAAATAGCTTACTTTCATTTCTAACAAGGATAAAATTAATTTTATAGCAATAATACCTTCCTGAGTGTCAGAAGTAACAGTACCCAGTAGTCTATATAATTGTACTACAATATATGTAGTATAAAAATAATAATTCACATTAACAATGGCGGTTTTGATTTGTGAACATGACTGTGGCCTTTCAATGAAATATTTCTTTAAATATAGCCTTCTCTACTCACGTATTGTACCACAGTCATGTTTCAGTTTCTATGTATGTTGTGCCTAAATTATTCATTCACTGGCACTCATTAACAGCCTTACTTTTTTATTTTTAGAAAGATATAATCTGTTATTTAAAATTGTAATTGTAATTTAATTGAGTAGCTCCAAAAAAGTTATCTAGAAAAGGACTTCCAAACCATCAGCTGGAAAGTTATAAGCAAAAGATAAATTATTTTCCAAATCTTTAAGCTTTTAAAAACAAGAAGAAAATACTGCTTTTGACTGGGACAATGCAGTAGGACAATTTGTTATGACACATCTATAAAAACCATTCATTTTTTAAAAAATGCACATCTGAAATAAGACCCACCTGTGGAAAGGAACACTATCCACTTCAACAACTAAAAAAATAAAACCATCATTCTGACATGTATCAGTATTTTACATATCTAATACTGAAGGAGGCAAATACTATTGTCATAATAATCTTAAAGCCAAAATAAAAGCTCAAATCAGAATTAAGAGAAACTTGGGAAAATGTTTAGAATGTAGATATTTGCATGCATTTTCAGCCAAACTTTCAAAGATTCCACATATAACCAAATGACAACTTTGAATCAAACTGAATGTCAAAAATATTAGAGCTTTGTGACACACTTACTCTAATGCAACCAGAAAAACAGAAGAGTGAATAGCAAGAGCAGTATATTTCTAAAAGGAGGAAAAGAAATCACTGACTTCCTTTATCACGGAACAAAATCAACAAGTCAGCATTTTTATGACACTGGCCATCAAGTGATTCACTATCAAAGAATTCACTTTTCAAGTTGTGTCTTTAAAATGCACTCATTTATATTTTGGGATTAAATTAAGTTTATGAATCAAAAGCCACTGTACTCAGAATTCTAATCTTAAGAAATTTAAATCATAACTTATCAAAGCGTAGTCCAAACACTATACCGTAATTCTACCATTTGGTTTTTATATGCCTCATCTGCAAAACTCATTTTACAAACAGGAGTTTTGCTCTGTTCCTCCATAGTTAATGTCCCTACACCTAAAATTTTAAGTGGCAATCAAAAAGACAGATTCAAAGGATTCCCGCTACTTCATCGGGCTTTGATAAAAACAGAGCCATCTGGTGGTGTAGCCCCATCTTCCTTCTCAGTGACTGTCTCTACAGTCCCAGAAGCTGACACAATAACCATTGTTTTATTTGCTGGAACCGTCTTCTGTTTCTCAGCAATCGCCGCACAAACGGCAACAATCTCATCACTTTCAAAGTCATAGTCAGGAATTGACTTTGGTGAGAAATGGGTTACTTCCACTGATGCGTCACACTTTTTAATCTTCTGCGCAACCTTCTGCTGCTCCTGGAGTGTTCTTGCCCAAGAAAGGTCTTCTTTCCATATTTCAGGGTTCATTGGATAGATGTGAAGGGCGACCTGAAAACTTCGAATTGCCTAAGGGAGATTAAAAAAAAAACAACAAAGTTTTTTTTGTTTGCTTTGTTTAAAAAAATGAGTCAATCTAATATATATAATCCATAATATCTATCTCTATCTCTTTAAAATATATATATCATATATATATTTTATACACACACACACACACACTGTGTGTGTGTGTGTGTGTGTGTGTTTGACATTTTTTAAAAACATATTAGAATGTAAGGATAGAAATTAGGGCTGTGCCCTAAACACTGGATGATGATTATGATGAAAAAAAGAAAAAGTTAAAGAAGTGTGAAAGAAAGTGCCTGACAAACTGCTGCGGAGAACTCCAGTCCACTGAAGTACAGGGAATGCTTTCTAGTTCAAGACAAGGCAAATGCACTGTTCCATGTCTGCAGGCCAGCAGCTGTAAGAATCTAGGGATTTCTTGGCTAACCCATCATCAGAAAGGTACGTACTGGGAATGCCTACGTTTACACCCAGAGCTTAGATTCAAATAATGCTAACATGTATTGACCATCACAAGAGACAAAGAAGGACATTATAGAATGATAGAAGGGTCAATTCACCAGGAAGACATAACCATTATAAACATATATTCCTCCCAAAGCCGGAACACCTGTAAGTATAAAGCAAACACAGACAGAGCTGAAGGGGGAAACTGACAGCAACAGACAGCAGGAGACTGCTATACCCAACTTCGGTAATGGGACCCAATACCCAGAAGGCAGATCACTAAGGGAAGAGAGGACCTGAATGACACTATAGATCAAAGGGACCCAACATAGACAAAACATTTCCCCCAATAGCATCAGAGTGCACGCTATTCTCAAGTACAAACATAACATTTTCCAGGAGAGGTCACATGTCAGGTCATAGAACAAGGTTTACAAATTTAAGGCAACTGAAATTATACCAAGTGTCTTTTCTAATGACAATGGAATAAAACCAGAGATCAGTAGCAGAAGAAAAACCAGGAAATTCACAAATAAGCAGAAACTAAACAACCCAGTCTTCAACAACCAATGAGTCAAAGAGTAAGTCATAAGGGAAATGAGAAAACATCCGGAGACAAACAAGAATGAATACACAACATACTAAAGCTTATGGATGCAGCAAAAGCAGAACTAAGAGGGACATTTATAGAAGAAAGATCTCAAAGAGCTAATTTTACACCTCAAGCAATTAGAAAATGAAGAACTAAGCCTATAACTGTTTTCCAACACCCAACTCACTCTAAGTTTCAAGTTTTTATTTACATTCCAGTTAGTTAACATATAATGTAAGTTTCAGGTGTAGAATTTAATGATTCATCCCTTCCAACACCCAAGTCTATATAAAATCCTGAATAATTAACTGCTGGAGCTCTCCCCACCTACTGACTCTTAATCTACCACGTGGTCTTTGTATGATCTTGTGTTTTTGTCCAAATACATGCAAATATAGGAAGAATGGTTAGATGTTAACAATTTTTAGCTCGCTTTCAATATATTTTTCATAGCAACCTTTCCTTAACGACATTTTGTCTTTTTTTTCTTACCATTCCAGTCTTTCAAAATAGCTTAAGTATACATAAAAATTACAAACTTAGATTTTCCCAAGTACAGCCCTAAAAATTATATTAAATGAGGAAAAAAACTACACTTTTAATCCCTGCAAGAATTTCATAATTTTAATGGACAGAACCGTATCAGCAGGAAAAAAAATAAAAAACCAAAAAAAACACAACTGAACAACTGGTTCCCTTATGCAAAAAAAAACCTTAAAATCTTAAATAATTTTACTTTTACTGATTGACTGGAAGTACCTCTACCATGTCTCCTGCAGTATTTTCTTTCTTTACAGGACAATCTTTGCTAAACTTTAAATCCTAGAGATTTTTTCCCATTACCATAGACACTTAACAAGCAAAAGAGATAATGCTTTGTAAGCTTTTAAATAAAGCAGAAATGGGGGGCAAGAATTTTGTGATAGGCTTTGTTTGTTTTCCTGTTAACCCATTAGAAAACAAAATACCACGAATTTCTTTTTTCTAACTCTAGTATGAGTTAAGTCTTCAGGTAAAAAAAAAAAAATAGGGACTTTGGTTAAACTGGTTTCCATCACTGTGAACCTCATTTCAGATTATCATGTTTAAGTTATTTGACACCAATTATTCTCTCATCAAAATTCCTTACTTATTATTTCTGAGAATTTGACCAATACCTTTATTTTGGTAAACAGAAATGATATTTATTAGAAAAATCTACGTTATCTATAACTTACTAAAGCCATTGTTACTAAACTTAAGTTCAGGGTTTACCAGTCATTTCATTAGCCTTTAAAGAAGCTATTTTTAGGGGCTCCTGGGTGGCTCAGTGGGTCAAAGCCTCTGCCTTCGGCTCAGGTCATGATCCCAGGGTACTGGAATCGAGCCCTGCATCGGGCTCTCTGCTCAGCAGGGAGCCTGCTTCCTCCTCTCTCTCTGCCTGCCTCTCTGCCTACTTGTGATCTCTGTCTGTCAAATAAATAAATAGAATCTTAAAATAAATAAATAAATAAATAAAACAATTTTTAAAAAAGAAGCTATTTTTAATTTTTAATTTTTATTCTAACTGTGAAAGGCAAATAAAGCCTTGCAAAATCTTAATTAATGACAAACAGAAAATTTGGCACTACTGTATTAGATTTGCAAACACTCTTTAGGATATTAGGGGCCAGCCCTGCCTAAACAAAAACAAAAACAAGATGTAACGGTCACAGCCAACTCTCATTTCTTCATCTTGTGCTACCTAACACCTGAAAAAAAATTCTTTTTTTTTTAAGATTTTATTTATTTTAGAGAGAGAGAGAGAAAGAGGGAAGGACAGAGGGAGAGCCTCTTAAGCAGACTCCCCACTGTGCATGGAGCCTGACAGGGGGCTCAATCTCAAGGCCTATGAAATCACTATCTGAGCCGAACCAAGAGTTGGAAACAACCACCTGAATCAGCGGGGTGCCCCCTGGAAAAAATATTCTGACTCTAATATAATTCATGTTTACAACGGAAAAAGACATTCAATAAGAACTATGATCTGTATCTATACTTACTACCTTTAAGAGGCAATTTGCTATTTATTTTTTGCACAGATGTAATAAATGGCTATTTACTTTTTGGCTCAGCTAATCAAAAACACGTCAGAATAAAATTTCATCATTATAATAATCTAACTTCCTTACCAGGACTATCTCTCCTAATCCAAGCTGAGCACGTCCCAAAGTTTGCCAAGACTCCCATGAATGTGGATTTCTCTGGACAGCCATTTCAGCTGCATGTACTGCTGGGAACATTTCATGAAGAGACATTAGGACCTGTAGCCAAAAAAAAGAAACAAAACTTGTCAGTAATACTCATAAACTAGCAAACTACTAATGAATAACCATATATAAACTTTTTCATTTTTAAAAAAATATTTTTAGTCTGGTAAATATAGCATCTCAGTGGTTTTGACCCACACCTCTCCCATGCAGGATCAGGAAAGACTATTCTTCCTATTTCTAAAATAACTATGAAAATATAAACTATCCCCTTCTCAGTCATTGAACACTCTTGCCCATCAGTTAAAAAAAGGTGATCATGATCTAGCCATGGTGGTTCAGAGATATTTGAACTCTTAATTCCACTTTTGATTATTCTATTTACAATGTGGTTTTCTATTTACAGTGTGCCTTACGTTTGAGATCATCATCTGAAAGGTATCTGTAAAGTGTGTAGATCAAGGCTGAATTGCAACTATTCCCTCCCAAAAATATGTCTGATACTCCATTAGAGATTTTAAAGTCTTTTGGATAACTTAACCCAAGTGCTCAGAGATTTTCCTTATAGACTTTCCCACAAAATAATAGAAATGTATTTTTAAAATTCAAATGTTATTTCCAAACTATTAATAAATTGAGTCTATTCTGACCTTTTGCTAAGGACTAGGCCATTTTTAGAGAAATATCATCATACAGAGTCCAACCATCCTCATTCTGAAGAAACAAAGCTATTGCCCAGTTCACTACAATTAATTTCCAAGGCAAGCAAACACATTTCATTTAAGAAATCACCACTAAAAAAAAAAGAAGAAGAAGAAGAAGAAGAAGAGGAAGAAGAAGAAGAAGAAGAAGAAAAGAAATCACCACTGACTTCCTAAAAGATAGGCATCTGTTCATATCTTACCAAGGTTGAAATAAGTTAACTTCACTGTGAAAATTAATGAATTTCTAATGTCATGCAAAAGGCAGAGCCATAAATAATACAGTGATAATATTTTATCACCCAGGGCCTACCAATAATAATACTGTAACACATTTTGGAAAGGAAATGTTAAAAAATTTGAAAAAGACATATTTGAGAAAGAAAGTGGAAAGAAATGCCATTTTGGTTCATTACTGTTCACCAAACACATATGAACACAACACAGTGAGATTTCATAATGAAACTGAAATTCTCCATGATCTTTACCTGTGATTTCATTTCATACAGGGTGGCATCATCTGGGGTTAACTGCAGTGCTTCATCCCATTTTTGAATTGCCTCTCGATATCTGTGGTTAAGTTACATTAATATCATATTTTTAATAAGGCCTTGAGAGTACCTAACTAAATATTTAAATCGGGTACTAAGGAATACTTGTATATCAAGAAATAGCTCTATTCAAGAACTCACAATAACAATAACATTACAAAAACAAGAAAAATTAAGAGTTAAAGAGAAAGGACAGCAAAAGAGAAAAAGACAAATATAAATGCAAGAGATCTTAGAAATCTCTCTCCAATTTTACTTTCCCGGCTGAGAAATCGCCATCAAAATTTCCCTTTTTTCATCAACACCAATGTGTCTGCAAATGTTGTCATACATGTCGCAAGTATTACAAAGGACTTTTCTGAGGAATTTATAATCCAGTTGCAATCCTGGGCAATCCAGAAACAATCTAGCTGACACACAACACTTTTAAGAAGTTGCCTGGTAACTGTGTAAAGACTCTTTTGGGGCACCTGGATGGCTCAGCTGGTTGAGCGTCTGACTCTTGGTTTTGGTTCAGGTCATGATTTCAGGGTCACGGAATTGAGCCCTGCCTCGGGCTCTGTGCTCAGTGGGGAGTCTGCTTGAGAATTCTCTCTCTCCCCGCTCTGCATTGCCCTCCCCCCTGGCTCTTGCTCTCTCTCTCTCTCTCTCTCTCAAATAAATAATCTTAAAAAAAAATTCTTCAGTTTTAAGTTTCCTTGTCTGTAAATTCCATGAGCTCAGGAACTATATCTTTTCATCACTATTAATACAAGGTAAGCTTATAAAAAATGGGTCAAATGAGGGGCACCTGGGTGGCTCAGTGGGTTAAGCCTCTGCCTTCGGCTCAGGTCATGATCCCAGGGTCCTGGGATCGAGCCCCATATTGGGCTCTCTGCTCAGTGGGGAGCCTGCTTCCCCCCCCCCCCCGCCGCCTGCCTCTCTGTCTACTTGTGAGCTCTGTCAAATAAATAAATAAAATCTTTTTTTAAAAAACGGGTCAAATGAATGAAAAACAGCTTAGAGATGGTGATTTCCACTATCACTTTTGCACTGATGTCCTCCTAGTGAGGTTTTTCTTGTGACCTCCAGAGCTGTATGGTCAACTAGCATCTCTGCGAAGACACCACGAATTCCTCCTGCCTAAAACCAATGTTAGCGTGCCACGTCCAAATTTGCAGAAGCACTGCAGCACTTTCTTTTTTAAATAAAATTAAGGAATAATAAAGCCCTATATGTTATCCTTCTATGTTATCCTATATGGTATCCTTCACAAGTGTTTAACTCACATATATGTGACTATTTCTACAAAGAGAAAGTCCTATTTGCCAGACTATATCTTCCATGACAACGAGCAGAAACTTTCTATTCTGTACCTTCCTCCCAGTGCTACTAATTCTGGTTTCTCGAGATAAACAGAAAATATGTAACCCACTAGTTTTAATTCTTGGCTATACCAGAATGATCTAGGGAGATTCTGGAAGGGAAGAAATACACACCACACACACACCACACGTATACACAGAGCTGGGCCTAGCCTCAGCTCACCTAAAACAGATATTCTCAGAGGAGGACACAGGCATCTAAATTTTTTGAACCAGGAAACGGTAATAAACACCAAGGTGGTGAACCATTGATAGTATCTTTCATAACATATTAAGACCTATCATGTGCTACCTTCTATGGAATCACTCATTGTTTCCTGTTTTCCAGACCCTTCATTTCCTCTGTATGTGTTCTTCCGCATAATTTCCTACTTGAATATATGAAGATCCAAACCAAAGATAACCAAAATGTGGGCCAATATGCACTGATTATTATTATTATTTATTATTATTTAAACAGAGGACAGTGAAGTAGAGAAATACAGGTGACATTTGGGAGAAAATGCAAAGCTTGAAGAACATAAAAAAGTACATTCTGTTTTCACCTTGCTAGAGAGTTCTTTGACTAGCAAGGAATACAGATGGGCAGTACCATTTCCAGGGGTCTCATGCCGTCTTGGCAAATGAAAATGGGCTACCAACACCTGTAAATAGGTCTGCCACAGAGCCGGCCCCATGGCTAGCAGCAGGGGGAAGGTGAACATGGTGGGAGTGTGCTTTACACATCCCGCCGGAGCTGCCATGATAGGCTGCAGCAGTGGCTACCGCAACTTGGTAATAGCAAGCTAGACGGAGCTAGATGCTTCAGATTGACCCTGGAAAAGCTGGTAGTCTTTGCTTCCAGGCAAACCAATCTGAAAACGCAGACATAGCTATCAGAACTACTGCCTGGACCACAGTTAGTATCTTCTTCCCTAACAGGGGCCACTGCTGAGTACTGAAGAGTTACCTATTTGAACACTGTGTTTACTTCTGGGTGGAAGACTACTAGAGTTTTAGGAATACAGTGTGACCATTATTCACTTCATTTTTATGATGTGCTACCACAATGCTGAATGTTTTTCCCTGCTTCTGCCTGCGTCAGAAATATTCTTGGCGGGAGGGGAGGGGCGCCTGGGTGGCTCAATAGGTTAAGCACCTGCCTTCAGCTTAGGTCATGATCTCAGGGTCCCAAGACTGAGCCCCGCATTGGGCTCCCTGCTCAGTGGGGAGTTTGCTTCTCCCTCTCCCTCTGCCATGCCCCTCTGCTCCTGCTCTCTCTTTCCCTCTCTCTCTAAAATAAATAAAATCTTTAAAAAAAAAAATCTTTAAAAAAAATTTAGGTAGTTAACACACAGGGCAATATTGGCTTCTGGAATAGAACTCAGTGATTCATCACTTACATACAACACCCAGTGCTCATCATAACAAGTGCGCTCCTTAATACCCATCGCCCATTTAGTACCCCTCAGCCCCCTCAATTAAACCTCCGTTTGTTCTCTATTGTTAAGAGTCATTTATGGCTTATTTCCCTCTCTCCTTTTTTTCTTTTCTCCCTTCCCACACATTCACCTGTTTTCTTTCATAATTCCACATATGAGTGAGTTCATATGGTATTTGTCTTTCTCTGACTTATTTCATTTAGCAGAATATAATCTAGCTCCATCCATGTCGTTGCAAATGGCAAGATTTCATTCTTTTTGATGGCTAGGTAATATTCCAGAGAGTGTGTGTGTGTGTGTGTGTGTGTGTGTGTGTGTGTTTTAAACATCTTCTTCAGCCATTCATCAGTCAATGGGCATTTGGGTTCTCTGCTGCTCTAACATTATGGTGCTTACATGAAGTGTTTGTTTTTATACAAAATGTTCTTAAATCAGGTCTTTCTTGTATTCTATACCTGAGTAAAGGACACTTGTTTTGATATAATTGTTTTGATATAAAAAATTATTTCCCAAATACACAGAGAAGAATCAGAAAATATAGGAAAGCGCATGCATACACACCCATACCTTCCACACACAGAAATTAAAGACAACAACCATAGTTAATATAGTTAACACTTTATTGTATATACTTCCAGTTTGTTTTAATATATATCACACATATGAAACTTTTTTTAATGTCTTTAAATTATCAAATGCTTCTCTCTGTAGCATAATGCTCAGAGACGGATTACTAGTGTTTCAATACAAAATTCATTCAAATGGATCCTCTACTGTTAGACATTATATTTAAAAGCTGCTAAAAGAGTAAATCTTAAATGTTCTCACCACACAAAAAAAGCAAATGTGAGGTGATGGATGTATCAACTAACTTTTTACCGTGGTAATCATTCTGCAATATATATGTTTATCAAATCATCACATTCTATACCTTAAACTTACATAATGTTATACATCAATTATATCTCCATAAAACTTGAAAAAATTACCCTTTGGTCATTACTGCTATCTTTTTGGAAGGAAGTGGGCCATGAACAATTGCTGAAGAAGGAAAGCTGTATTTTGGAGGTCAAATATACACATATTATACTTGATATAAAACTGACTGGAAATGAGATCACTTTAGAAGGAAGGATGGTACAACTTAAAATATCATTCTCATTAATTTCCTTTATGAAAAAAGCCAATGAGGGAAGAAATAAGTATATATTATATTATTATATTAACATTATTATGTATTAATATTATCAGTGTTAGTATTATTATATGTAGCAAATATTATATTTACTATAATATACTATAATATATGTCTAGACTCCTCCCCTTCAGATTTTCTATTAATATGACCCACTAGGGCACCTACTATAATATGCTATACTCTAAGTCTATACTCTTCCCCTTCAGATTTTCTATTAATATGACCCACTGGGGCACCTGGGTGGTTCAGTAGGTTAAACACCTGACCTTTAAAATCCAACTGTTATTTGTAAGAATATATTCAAAAAAAAAAAAAAAAAGGGGAGTGCATTGGGGGAGGTGGTGGTGGATGGGGGGATGAGACAGAGAATCTTAAGCAGAATCTGTGCTGGCCCATGCTAGTCTCAAATTCAACCCTGAGATAATGACCTGAGCTGAACCAAGAGTTGGACACTTAACCAACTACGCCACCCAAGTGCCCCAAAATTTGTACAATGAAAAGCAAATCTTGCCTTCACTCCTGTCCTCTGGTCTATTAGATCACTTTCCCACAGGCAACCAGTTACCAGTTCCTTGATATCCTGCCAAAGATAATCTTTGGATTTATAAGCATGAGGACCTATGTATCTTTGAAAACATCATAAATGGTAACATTCTAAATATACACACAATTCTCTCCCTTGCCCTTTTACTTACTATATATTGAGATCATTTTGTATTATTATGTACAGAACTGCCTTTTTAAAAAATGGCTGTATAGTAGATCTCTTACTATCCAGACTCTACCAGGAACCAGAAAGATTTAGATTTTAAACAGATTAAGAGACAATTTTAATTACTTGTCCTGGTTATTTATATTCTTGATAAAAAGAAAAGTTGCAGATATTAAAACACTATTAAGCTCAAAAGCTTTATTCCAGATATAGCTGATTCTCATTCCCAAAGTTATGTTCTAAAAAGGCGCTGTAAAGACTGAATTAGCAAATACTGAATCATTGCTCGTAGTTTGGAAAACACAGGGTTAAGTTCCTGCAAAC